GGGCGGTGGGGACGCCGGGTGGAAACGCATGCTCGCAATGACGGGACCAAGAAGACCACTGTTCGAAGTAGCGATTCAGGGTGGAGGGCGCAAACTTCGCAATGGAACGGCACATGTGTGCCTCCGGGTTGGAAGATGCTTGGCAGTCAGCATACAGTGCAGAGGCGGAAGCCAGCGCAAGCAGGATGGCAATCCAGCGCGTAGATAGAGCATTCATGGCCAACTGTACGCGACCGGCAGTAGACAAAGACGCTGTGGCTTTGGCAGCAGGAGGAGAAACGGAAGGGAAGTGCACAGAAGCCGGGGTGACGGGTTGCACACAAGACCCGGAGAACTGGCCAGGGGCACAAGCCAAAGGAAGGCGAGGCACGGGCGGTAGAAGGTGCGCGGGCAGCGTGCCCCGGGGGAGAGCCGGCGCCTGCAAAGCCAAGGTCACCGGAGGCGGCGAAAAGGAGAAATTGGAAGAAGACACCGGAGTGCGCAAAGAAGCAGGGCAAGCCGTGGTGCAAGGGCGGGTTTCAGCGAAGCCGCGCGGGCGGTAAGCAGAGTTGGGCCGGCCATCGGCCCAGCGCCGAGGGGGTGCAGCAGGACCCGGCAAGACAGGTGCAACCACCAAAGGAACCGGTCGTGGCAACAAAGGGTCCTGAGGAGCAGAAGAGGACACAACCTCGAAGCCACTGACTGAAGAGGAGCCAGGTTGCGAAGGGGGAGTATCGGCAGGAGGCGGGGACAAGGAGGGAGAACGCAACGCATGGTCAGTCCAAGATGCGGTGCCGCAGCCGGCGTGCGATGGCGAATGCACAGCATGGTCCGGACGCGGGGCACGGACGGAAGGCTGCAAACGGACATCGGAACTCACGGCAAAACGGCCTGCCTGCAGAACCTCACGGAGTTTGACCGCAGCATCAGCATCACTCGGACTCAGAAGTGGAGCTCCCAACCTCGACGGCGAAGGCGATCGAGGGCGGTCCTGACAGCAGGGAAAATAAAATGCAAACAAGCGGCAACAAAGGGACAGAAAGGAGCACTGAACCCGCGCAGCACCTTTTTCGGAAGNNCGGAACCCATGCGTATTGGAGGCGTTACGGTCAGAAACGTGGGAGCAATATAGTCACGGACGGGGAGATGGCCCACGGGCTGTGGCGGCATCTGACGCTCGAGCCAGCTCGGGTGGTCGGCCGGGCGGATGCAAAACAAGTCCGGGAAGGGCCAGTAGTGCGGAGCACACACGGATTTTCCAGCCCTCACGGTTTGACCACGGACCGTGCTCCGCCATGGCTCTCGGAAGGGGCGGGCTCACGTCGATCCAGTCGTAGCTGTCGGGCTCCAAGTCGGAGGGTCCAGCTGACGGAGCCAGGCAGGATTCCAATGATCCTGATTGCCGAGGTTGGGCAGCGGACCACCCTCCACGTAGCCGGATCTGCGGGTGACCTCGGGCGGGGCCACGTCCGGAACAGTGGTCGGAGCGGGCGGGCCATCGTCCCCCAAGTCCAAAAGGTCGGAGGTGTTGTTGCCGGGCGGGCCGGTCATGTTCACGTCCGGGACGACGGGCGGGACCGGGTGCTGCTCGGGGGCGGCCTGGTCCATGTCGATGTCCGGAGGCGGATTTTGAAACCTGAGGGGCGTGAGGCCCAAACGGTCGGCGAAAGCGGACCCGATCAAATCGTGAAAGCGCATGAGCTCTTCGGGCGTGAGGTCGCGGAGGGCGGGCCACAACGTCATCGGGAAAAGTCAACAATTCTGCCAGTACATCGGACACTGGCGGAAGGGCTGCATGCCCAGGGGGCGGAGCAGCCGCCGGCGGCACAGCGGACGGGCCCGAGCCTGTCGCCGGAGCCGGAGCATTGGTCGCCGAACCGGTGGCCATGATTCCACACAGAGTTCGGGAATAGCAAAGATCACAGGGGATGCTCGAGAAGGCAGCTGCGGACGGCCGAACAAAGCTGAAGCACAGCAGACGGCAAATAATGCACAGCGTGACCGGACAGCAAAGTGCAAGTCGGTCCTCGGATGGGACGGCAGGAGAACGCGCACTCGCCCGGGGCGGAGTGGAGATACCTACAGCCACAAAGGAAAAGCAGCCACACAGAAGGACGGCCGGGGGCGCCTCCTGCCGTGCTCGGTGTATTCGTCGGACCTCAGGGGCGGACGAATAAATGCGGTGGGGGCTAGGCAGGCCTGAGCTCCGGACCGTAAGGTTCGTCATTTGAGTCGTGACCTAGCACAACAGCAAAGGACGGAGGCAAAAGGTGGCCGAGGGCGCACCTTGTAAAGGACTGTCCACCAACTCCGGTCCTGACGGGCGGAAAGGTGGGACAATCACCCAAGACACGGAGGCGGTCCTGCAATGTCGTCGGGCAAGCCCGGACGGCAAGGAGAACGGGACCACTCAGAACTGCGTGAAGGAGATGAAGCCATGGCTCACAGAGACGGGCGGTAAAACCTTAGTACCTGCGAAGCAAGGCGAAAAGTCAAAAAGGCAAACCCGACCGTCCTGCGAGCCAGCGGCTATGCGGACGGTCGGTTGCCGTTGCGTCCTACCCTAAACATGACTGATCAAGCTCAGTAACTTTTTCATGAAGGTGGCAAATTCCCCGAAATCATGCTGGATCAACGGTTGTTGCCACCCTACAATAAAGGGCTTCCAGCTGAGGTCTTGCCAGAGGTTGGCCTTGCCTCGTTCAAGCGAAGCAGCACAAAACTTCGCACAACCGAGAGAGCGTAGATCTGCTCCTGTGGACAATTCCACGTGTACCCACGCATGAGAGTAACATGAGTTGCGCGGATTGAGGCGGGCGGGTGGGGCTACAAGTAGGACGGCCTGTTCGTGAAACAAACGATCACGCCGAAGATCAGGGCTTTACCTGGACCGGATGTCTCGAGTGGCGAACCCGTCGTGCACCACGACCCTGTGCTTCCCCTTCTTCAAGGGTCGGCCACGAAACGCGGCTGGCACAAGAGGAACGACCTCGGCATTCAAGTGGCGCACGGAGCTTCGCGTTGAAGCTACAAGATTTCCCCTCGGCCGACCTTTGCCCTTTACCACGACGAAGACGGGAGGGATTCCTTCAAAGGGATGGCCGAAAGCTATCGCTGCTTGACCGTGAAGCTTCGGTGTTGATCACAATCTTCAAAGCCCCAAAAAGAAAGTAAGATCCTTGAGGAAACGGAAGCTGATCCGCTGGGGTTCGGGTAATTAGCACTTTTCCCTGCTTGGATTGAGGGGCTCGGAGCGTCGCACTTTTGTCGGATCTCCCCCAATGACGAAAAAGGAGGGGGGAAGAGATGGCAGGAGGGAGCCTTTCCGTTGGGCCGGAATGCACCCCATCGTCGTTCACTCACTCACTCGCTCGCTCGCTCATGTTTTTCTTGGTTTTAATAAAAAGGCATACCAAAGATTAGCAATCTACTGTTAAGATGTGCTGCGCCTAACAGTGATAAAGTCATGAAGGAACGGCAGAATTGTGGATCAACAATCCAATATAAGATTTCGTGTGCTTGAACGTCATGAGGTCGTAGAGGAAGCGACAAATAGGAGTATATACCACCTCCAATCTGAGGTTATAGATAGGAAAGGGTTCGCAAAATGTATGAAAGTAAAAAGGTCATGTCGGCACATCTCTTGGGACCTTGAAACATTGGCACTAAAAGCAGTCTCTAACTCCTCCGAACAAGCCATGCATCACCTAAAACAGACCGTAGGAAGCTATGCAAGGTAACGTTGAATAGCATTGAAGTCTTGGGTCTTTAGAGATAGAATCATGATGAATATAATCTTATTTCTTTACGGACTGCTTTTTATGCTCCGGACATTCCGAAGATTAGAGCCTAAAGTGCATACTACATTCCGAAGCGTACTAGGCAAGGAAATGCAGGTGATGAAGAGCTAAATTACATTATACTTGTACCTTTTGGTTTGCTGTGTTCATGTCGTTTTTCACACCACAATACAGGAGCCGACAGTTACGATTGACTCCTGGTTTCGTTCGCTTGGTGAGCTATGCTTGCACGTCGTTTCTCTGTGTTGATCCGAAATTCAACAAACAGGTTGGCTACGCTCCTGTTTAACACAACATGATGTTGTTGTTCCTGGTTTCGTTCGCTCGTTTGCGTTTGGTTCCGTTAATTTCGCGCATTCGTTTCTCTACTTTACAGCAAACTATAATGAGGCCAATTCGAAAAACGGTTATTATATTTGTACTACACGTAGTAGAAGCGGTCGCCGAAGGCCTCACTGCGTTCCACTGCCGAAAACTCAAACGCCAGGTGGAAATCCAAACCAAGGAAACCACAACAAAAACAAGCACAAACAAATCGCAAAGGAGACCCGAAATTTGTTGATATTTTTGGTTCTTTCGGTTTTTTGCATTGGATCTCCTCTGGGGTTTGATTTATTGGTTGTCGTTCTCTGGTTTGTTTTTGGGCTTTGGATCTCCTCCTGGATTTTGTTTTTTCTTGCTTTGGAGTTTTGAATTTCGTATGTCTTGTTTGATTGGCCTTTGTGCGGTTTCTAGACTTGTTTTTTTTTGGGAATGGCAGGTGTCTATTCGTAAAACTAGCAAAACGCAGAGGTCGTTTTCCGAGCCCCTTATCCTGCAAGGAGACAGTCGCAGCTGACTTGACCTTTTCGGGGAACTCGTTGAGCATCGATCTCGGCACCGGAGAAACAACATCCTTAAAGCCTCCATCACACAGGAATGGAAACCAGGAAGTCGAGCGGATGCCATCGGAGGAGGTCGGGGGAACTGCAAAAGAAAATTCTGAAGAATGCTCTTTTTCCCAAAATGGCGACGGAGTGTACATGAGGGAAAGCCGAGAGTTGTCACTTCGCACACAAGTGTGCTGCACGACAATTATTGCTGAGTATACATGTTGTGTCCGATTTGGACTCATTGCTTCGAAAATTCAAGCGCGCTGCGCTGTGACAAAAAGCTTCGGAAGTTTCTGATGTCGTGCCTCAAGAGCGCGGCCCATTGCTGCGGCTTGTCCCGCAGAAATCTGGCGACGAAGTCGCTTTGGCGGCGTGGGTCCTCGAAACTGGACTCGGGCGACAAGTTTTGGGACTTTCTGTAGCTGGATGTGCAATGTCCTTCTCGCCGGTTGCTGACGACCACGGTTTGTAGAGCTCCGACAACGAGAGGATTTTAGGCCTCTATGCAAAGAAAGCCTGCTGGCTAGTGCACAGACGATCACAGAAGCCGCAGCCGAGTCGATCATGGTTCACCAAATCTGCGATGGCAACAATGTGGACCAGCCGCGCTGGTCTGCAAGTTGACAACTACGACGTTGGAATTTGGGCATGGGTTTGCTCTGGCATGCTTTGGTGATGACATGAAGGAACAACAGCGGCAAATGAGCAGCGCAGGCTTGCCTCTTCAGCACTTTGATTGCGCAGACCGGGCATCGCTTCGGCCTGTCCCGTGTCAGCTCCAAAGCCTGCAAACACTTTTTACCACAGCTTGCCCGCTGACATCTTTGTGGATACTCCAACATCATGTGTCAAGGTTGCCATGGCGAATCAGCGGCATTTATGTAACAGCGTAGGCGTAGAACGAACATCCATGAACCTTGCAGGCCCGTCACCTGAACATGCAGGTGCAATGCACTAGAGGCCTCTGCAAAGTGGAGCGGCTGTCGACCTGGCACCCGTTACTGCCGTTACTTGTACTTCGACTTCATAGAAAGGATCTGACATGAATCTCGCATCAAAGATGGCTGCATCCGAGGGGCGTCCTCTCTGCCGCGGCGGTACTGCCGACAGCCGCGATGCAACCGCCAGGGTGATGGCTGCCCAAGTTCCGATGCGCCGCACTTCCTCTCAAAGGGCGCCTAATCACAGAATGCCTTCGAGGAGCCCCAGCCTCCGCGGCCTTCGCACGGCCGGCTGCCGAGAGTGGCGGCTGTGCAGAGACTGGGAGGCATGGTTGACTGGACCCACACAAGGCAACAGTGGCCATGCCATTCTACTTTGAAGTGCACGTCAGGGCGGGGGGGGGGAGGGGGCGGGGTGGGTGACGTCTGGCGGTGGCGTCTTGCCTCTGGGATAGACTGTGGCTTGACCTGTTGTAGAAGGAATGATTTGAGCATGCCGTGTTTCATGTGCATGTCCGAGCTGAAGATCCAAACTACCATGAAATCGTCTGCTGGTGATAGCAGAAAGGAGCATGTCAGGTCAATCGGCCGAGATTGTCAAACCTGAATTCCCGTTCATGCAGCCAGCCACCGTCAAAGCAACGAAACGAACAAATACACCATCTCACAGTTCACAAACATTGCAAGTAAAGCTTTATGGGAGTCTTCGGCTTACGAGACCCACACGTCAACCCTACAACAAGTGCAGCCTTGAAATCTAACAACTGGCCTGCCCACCTCGAAACCAACACAGTCCGCACCCACACAGGAGCCCACCTCCACACATCAGAAAAAGGTCTCTATATCTCCCTGCCCTGTCCCGTCTTCAATCCGGCTTCCTGTCAGTCTTTTCCTGTGTCACGCGGATCTGATCTGGCTTCCGTCTTTTTTTGCTAGAGCATTCGCTCGACGATTACCAAATGACCCGTTCTTCCAAGCTTGTGCGTAAACTTGTGCAGTTGAGTCCACCAAGGCTCTTGGCATCAGATTGGCAATTCCATCCTGTCATGGGAATGTCTTGGGCACATAAGCCTCTCCGTTGTTGGCTGATGCAAGAGCATGTCCATACAGGGCACCAAAACACTCAGACACATGCCGAAAATTGCGTTTTCGGGTCAACCGAGCCCACCGCTCAACTTCCCGAAGACCGGATGGAGCCTCTCCTGGAATGGAGAGGTCGTGACGCGACGGACAACTCCTAGTTACGTTGTTCTTGCATCTGAGACCTTTGAAGGCTAATCCAATCAGTCCTGCTTCGAATGCATTCTTCCGTGCTTCAAACAAGTATCTCCACCCCGATTGATCTATCACTCAGGAGCCGAATTGTCTACGACTACGACCATCATCTCCGCAGTGCGATCAAAAACATGCTCCCAAGTGGGGAATGTGTGGCTGAAGCTTCGTGGCAATGCAGCGGTAACTACGGGTAGCGACAACACTACTCAAGGCAAGTACAGTGCAATCACCGTACAAGAAACAATTGGGAGCCCCGATTAAGAAATGGCTAAGAAATGAAGGGATGCCCAACGATTCGGGAGCTAAGAGATACGGAAATGTGAAACTAAAAGGAAGTTATGAAATGAAGGGTACCCGACGCTGGAAGCTGGCGTTTCTTCTCCAGCAGATGCAACGTAAAATGTGTGCGAGGTGAGTGAGCCCAGGGCGCTGGCGCAGCCGGTCCGACCGCAAGCCGCCTCCACCGCCTCACAAGCAAAGACATTGTCAGCTACCTCTGTAGAACTGTAGAAGGGAACCAAGATACTCGGCTGAAGCGCAGAGCATGCTCAAGCAATTCAGAGCCCTCTGCCTGGAGGCCGGCCTGCAAGAAAGGCCAGGATTTTTGCTGCAGGGCTCTGGCTTGGGAAACTTCTTTTGGCCCTGCTACATGATATCAGCAAGCACGCACACAGTGCGAGGGTCAACCGAACACGATTTGAACAGGAAAACTTGGAGTAAGCCCATTCTGCTCAAGCTCAGGTTTCGGTATCACCCGCCCCTACAAGGTTCAACCATGCCCCCCGTGTTGCTGTAGCTTTGGCATGGGCAAGATCATTTCTTCACTTTGCGAAAGATGTGCGATTGGCTGGTGGGAAGGCATCACTGGCGAGGCTGTACATCAAGGTCCAGTTACAATTTCCTGACCCAGCATGCCCCAGCACGCTATGGCGGCAACTGTGACAGTCGCCAACTTCAACGGTCTCCTTCCTATCTACAGGTCACAGCCTGCCATGAAGCTACCAATTTTTCACTCAGCCTATGAAGCGCTTAAGTCATGTCTCGAGCGTGCCCGGGCAAAAAAGGCTTGACTTGTCAGCGTCAAATAAATAACGCGTTGTGTACAACTGCTGAATGCCCATTAGGTCCATTCAGAGAAGCAGTTAACCTGGGCGCGAGCATGGCAACACCGTGGAGTGCAAGTGGAAGACACGCGCCGTATTGGGTGGAGTGCACGATCGACTCAGTCTGAGGCTGCCATTGGCCTGACCCAAGCAGTCAGGAGGCCCCGACTAAGGCCACGAATGCCTGTCCCAGCATGTTCAGGTCGAATACTAAACTGCATGCAATTCTTGCAGTTCAGTCTATTCGAGTGAACTGCACCAGAGATGGACATGCTGTCGACGTCTCATGATGGAGCTGCACCGGTCCTCCTCCCAGCATCAAGCTTTCTGAAGATCCATCTTCCTCAGCCGAGGCAGCCGTCAAAACAGGGCGCAGGTCTGTCTGGCAGACAGGAACCAGCAACCTTTGCTGCAAGATCTGCAAGCATGTCTCTGATTCATTATCTTCAGCTCGTCTCGAATCTCCTCAGTTGCAACAAGTGTTTGGGGCATCCTGGAGCTGTAGCTCAATCAATTCACACGCTAGCACGACACAGCTCCTTTGCTCTCAACTCCATGCCCCTAATCAGCTCCTGGGGCCTTCACATGAAGTGCTTCCAGCATTTCCTGCTGTCCGGGCCTGCGAAGCAGTGAGACACACCCTTCCCTGCAAAACAGCTCAACCGAAATTACAAGTTGCTAAAATGGAACCGAGAAGCGCCACACCAGGCTTCCTGAGTAGATATCAATAGGGCATGGTTTCTTCTTATGCTGTGGTCTCTCCCCTTTGTTGGGAGAGGGGGAGGGCAGGGCAGGGGAATTGGAGGGGAAGGAGGGGTGTCAGGGAGGGGAGGGAAACAAGAAGGGAAGCATAGCCCTTCCTTGTTCGGGGTAGGGATACCCCCACCAAGTGCTTTTACGGGGCATCCGCTCTGGACATCAATTCAAGTCGGGATCACCGGAGATGTGATGACCCTCCGGCTGGTTATTTCGGAAGCATAGGAAGAGATGTGCTGGCAGCAAGTGGCAGCGCAAAAGCTAGCGTTGCTAGCGCTAAAGAAAAAAGACAAGATAATGGAAAAGCACTTGGGCGGGTAACAACCTCGACCGTTCAGGAACACATCTTGAAATCCTCTACCTCGGGACTGTTCAAGGTGCCCCGAATTGGGAAAGGCGCCGTCTCGTTTGGTTTTTTTTAAAAAACTATGACACTCCAGATGTTGGTTCCGCAACAGTTCATATGGACGACGACAACATGCAAACAAGAAGCTCTGATGTGCAGGGAAAACCACGAAACTGATCCGACAAAAATGCCATGCATGTCAATCTCACGGTTCAATAATGCAGCATTTCCGCCCTCCCTATGCAAAACTTAGCGTTTCGCCCTGAATGCAAAATCTCGAACATCTGTAGAAGCCTCGCGAAGAAAACCTGAAATCTCCAAACCAAAATTTGGACATCTGGCTTTTTCAAGGGATATTGCAAGTCTTTTCGTTCGAGCTGCCGCCTTCGGGGCTATTACATGGCCCCTGGGAGACCCGAAGGCCAAATCCGAAGCCGAAAATCCATGAAACTGCTCTTTCACAAATTGATCCTCTTCTGAGACTTTTGCCGTCCCTGTGCAAAACCCTGGCTTTCGCGCTCAGCGTAAGCCCGGAGAAAAGCTCTGAAAGCCGAAGCGCGCCCAAACGCTGGCACAAAGTCAAAATGTGCAAGACAAACAAGAACCATGGAATCTGCGAAACTGAGTTTGGCCTTCTAGCTTTTTGCAGGGGATATTGTAGGTTTGTTCGTTCTCGTTGGGGGGCGCTTGCATGGATCCGAAGATAAACGCGCAAAATCAAATGTGCGTTTCGTTTTCTAAGTTTTGTTTTGCGCTTTTGTTCAGGGTAATTAAATTTTTCCTTCGAGCTTGGAGAGCCTCCAACTGCGGCAGTTCGAAGGATAGAGGGCCATAGACCAATCCAAAATTGAACCCTGCCTCTCTGCGAAACCTACGTAGGTCTTCGCCTCAAATGCAATGGCTTTAAGCGCAAGGGGAGTAATGGGAGGGGGGATGTGGGTGCTGAAGGGGGACGGAAAGTGGTGCTGGGAAGGGGAGGGAGGGGGGACGCGAAGGGGGGCGAGCAGAAGCATTGAAAAGCCAGGCTCGCATAAGGAAGCGAACCTATAGCAGCATTTGTAAAAGGAAGACCCGCCTGAAACCAAAGCCCGGGCATGTCAGAGAGGGGCGTGCGCGACAATCAAGGGCATTAAGGACACCACTCTTCCTCGTGGACAGGCCCGCTGCCTCGACCATTCAGCTTGACTCAGTAGCTAGAAAGGAGAGAAGGCCCCGGCCCAGGGTGCGGCTGAACCGCCCCCCGGCTCAGTCAGGACACCACCGACAGCACGAAATAAAATACCAAGCCCAGTGCCCCATACCACCTACACGCCCGCAGGCTGATCTGGTAGTCCTAGCTGCGTCCAAGGCTCCCCGGAATCATGGGAACATTGGAACCGGCAGGCGGCACTGCCCGCCTCTTCATGGCCCACACCTTCACGACCACTGTCCAAGAACAGCTCGCAAGCAGCATGGAGCATGCACCGTGCCTCGATACATAACCTGGTCCCTAATCTTCGAGCTGTGCAGTAAGGCTGGGGCCGAGTGCTTGAATGCGTGCGCGTCCACCAGGCCGTGCAACTCAAGTTCGTGCGTGGCCTGGGAACCAGGTCACCAAGCAACATGAATTATGGGCACGGTACGTGAGTGCTAACACGGCCAAGTGCTGCACAATCCCGTCTTTTGTGGCGCCGCTAGAGGCTGTGTCAATGTGGACTTTGGATAGCACGTTCCTTCATAACAGGTCGCCAGAACATATGCCCAAACGGACGGACAATCAGTTGGGGTTGTCTGTGACAGGCTATTCTCGTGCGAGATGCTCAATGCAGCAACAGCAAGCTGTGCCAGCAGGTTCCTGCAAGCCACGTCGAGTAAAGCTGCAACCACGCACAAAACGCAAATGCAAACACGGCGAAGATCGGCGAAGCAACAAAATGCGACTGAAAGGACACACAGTCCTGGACATCGCAGTCCGTGATCTTGTCATACGGGACAGTTTTGCTCTCCCTGCCCTTGTCTGTACAGGGCAATCCGCAGAACGTCTTCCTCTTCTCCTGGACATACCTGCTCCAGTCGCACACACGCGCGTCAAAAGGTCTCGCTACCTGCTGTCCCGGCTCGAGTCGCGAGACGACAGCGGCAGGCGGCGGCTTCCCTTCGTCAACGGTATCTGACGAGATGCCGGATACCGTCAATGGTCAATGCCACATGCTGAGAACCTTGGTGAGGGACACTTGCCCGTGCGTTGTCCCGAGTGCTATGACCCCTCTCGAGTCTGTGCAGCCATGACTCGGGTCTGCCACTCCACGTTTTGCTGGAGGAAGCAAGGCCAGCAGCACAAACATGATGCCCAGCACGGAGGCACAAACAAACACTGTGCCCATCTCCTGGGCTGCTGCCAATCCAAACACTACATGCACGATGCTGCGTGCAACCTGCACCCCGAAACTGCCCAGTCACGATCAAAGCATGCCAAGCTTCAATTTCGTGGTGAAGTCAACAATCACATCCTTGAAGCTAGCTAGGACAGTGCGGTCCCCGTCTTGACACTTCGTAGTGAGCCCGAACAAGGAGTCCAACGTCTGCAACTTGTGAGGACGTCTGACACGGACGAATCAGCAAACCTATTGAGTAGCACTCGTGGCATTCGCGGAAAACACGCTGTGGAACTGATGAACCTGAACCATGTGATGCATCAAATTCCAAGGCACGTAATCAAAATCAAAGGGGGCGATGAGGTTCGGCTCGTTCTGGAAGTATGTGTCTCGTGCTGCAGGAGCCACATAGTCGCCTTCGACACCCGTGAGGGGAACAGCATCCTCCTGGCAGTACCATGTCGGGACTTTCTCTGGTCTCTCCTAGGCCTCCTAGGCTCGCCTGAGCCTTGATCCTTTCCTAGCTTTCTTGTGACTCCTCTAGTTCCTACCTCGCTACAATGGCCCTTGTCACCTGAGAGCGAATCAACGAATATCAACGACTACTCCTGCATCGTCACCGGCATCAGGGCGGCTGCGAGATATGACAGTGTGCGCAAGCCCGATTGAATGCTTGGGCCGAACGAAGCGCAAAAGGCATGCCAGGATTGACAAACAGCATTGTAAGATAACGAAGCTGGATTCCTAGAGCAGGCGCAGTCACAAGCTGGCACGGAGAGATGCAGTGGAAGTTGCGAGACTTGCGCCTGATCCCTGCTGCGAGCGAAAGAACTGTACCTGGCCGCATCAAAAAATCTCGGCGCGATACGGTGCAGCATGTGTCGGTGTACAAGTGTATAGCAGAAATGGTTGTGCAGCTGTGCATGTATGGAGACGTGATCTCGTGCACGCTCAGCCTGGCCATCGAAGCCGCCACTGGCCATGGCCCCGGTGCGTGGATGGAGATCCACAGCAACCGCTGCATCCTCGCAGCCATCATAAAGCTGCTGGCAGGCATGATTTGCCCGAACTTCAGCCTTGTGGCAGTGCTTCGAACCGAGCACATTGCCCGTGCGTACATCGTACACCTGAGCTCAATACAAGCTCCTTGACTGCAACGCCAGGCCCGTCACACGGCCAGTCGGCAGCGACGGCGAGGGCGCCACACAAACTGAGCCTTCTTCCGAAGGTGTGGCCATGTATCGCAAGCAGGGGCTCAACCTCAACTGCGCGGAGGTCGTCGCATGGCTACTAAGTGTCGCGAACAAAGCTGCACCTGCATCGCAGTCGCTGCGCCGAATGGACATGACCTTGCAAATGTGCAGCTGAAGTACATGGTGCAGTGCAATTGACTAACTTTCCGTCGAAGTGTGTCTACTTTCCAGTCTTGAGCTGCAGACCGCTTCGGAAACAGCGGCACTCCTCCGGTGACAAGATGTGACAAGCATAAAGATGCAGCAGCGAATCGATTGGACTGATACGAACCCATGTCCTGCATTGTGCGAAGATCCCACAGTTTGATGCAGCCGTCCATTCCGGCAGTGTAGAACATGTCCATCGACGATGCACTTTGACCAGCGTAAGGCCTCGAAACATGAAAACAGGCCACCCGCGAGCGCATGCAATCATCTTGACCACTGGCTTTCTAAGGTCTTGGCTGTGCCATGCGCAAACATGTCACGGCCTTTGCGTGGATTGGATCTGGAACCGTTGCCAGAACCTGCTTCGCACGTTTCGACTCTGAAACCACCCTCGTGTTCCGTCTGCAGCTACATATCCGTTCCAGTGACTCTATTGAAAAAGCCTTCTCAGCAGCCACGTCCCAAACGTAGACGCGCTTGCTGGAAGATGCCACCTAAATCTAGCAGTCGGCTTGCGATTCATCTGCCAAGGCTGCTTGCTTACCGAGGTCGACGCCAACACGGTGCCGGAAAGGACAGCCTCGGTGGAGCCACAGCAAACCAACCCTTCTGCTGCGAAATGCATGGCTGGGTTTGGAACATTGTTTGCTGCAAGGGCAACTATTCCTTGCCCCGCGGAAGGTTCGCGAGGCAAGGTCAGCAAGCCGCAGCAGCGATAGGAGCCGAGCCTGCAGCACGTGAGCGGCAATTGTTGGACCGCCCTGCCCCCCCCCCCCCTTCACGCATCCCGGTTGAAAGCCTTTGCAATCGCTTGATGTCGTCAGATATATCCTGACAGCTTGTCAGTTTTCAAAACTAAAGCGAATTCTCTGCAAAGTGCAGCAGCATGTGCTTGGCCCTGGTCTTGCCTGGACATGTAGCTGGAAGCGATACACTGCCAACCGCGCTCCGGTTGCCAGTGCAATGGCCCCATCCAAGCACAGGAAGTGTGAGTCCTCCAAGCCAGTGGCGGCTTGACCGACCTGATGTGCACAAGATGGACGCCTGCCTGGACCTGGTCGAGCAGGGGATTGTCCTCCGAGCCCCAAGATGCCTCCCCAAGCGATCACAAGCTGTTGACAAATGCTGAATGGCTAACACAGGACCGAATGCCTGAGAGCGTGAACAGCTGCCGCCGTTGCCACGCAAGCGATCGAAGCGAATGAGCTCTGCGCCGGCATGAGGCCTGAGCCGATCTGTCCGAGAATCGTTCGAGAAACTGCGACCAAACAACAACACGTTGACACTTTCTTGACACATTGACAACAGCAAGCCCGCTCGGGCCGTCACCCTGCTAGCGCCCACAGGCGCGCGGTCCGATCGTCGCCTCAAGGCATCCCCATGAACTGCCAAAATTCCGAGTGGTAACCGAGCTTCTGACCACAGGTTAGCAGCAACGGCCCTCCACCTCCACCAGTTGAGTGCGACTCTGTGTACGAAGGGCCTCAGGTATTGAAGATATATTTGCACAGAAGGCAGAGAGAAGATCTGACATTCGTGCTGTGCTGCTCTTTGCTCTTCTAGAACTACAACTTCTGGCTGAAATGTGGGTGCTGACGAAACATTACTCATTGCTTCACCTGTTCTCGTCGCAGAACGTCAGCAGATGTCAGGAAGAGTCAGAGCTGCGACTCGCGCACAGGGACACGATGTCACCTTGATGACCAGCCAGACCTGCAGAGAGGTCAGGGCTCGGGCTTCGGGCTTCCTGTGCAAAAAATTCTCATAGAAATGTCTACAGGTGTCAAAGTCCGTGCGCACCGCCCGTGCTGGTATTGCGATCTGCCGCGTGCCCGCCCGTCTACCTTTCTGAGAGTCTCGGGCCTGAGTGCTGAGTGTTTCGTCTGCGTGCATTCCTGGTCTTGCGTACTATGCTTGCTTCGTGCCTGTTCGGGCGCATACTTTTCGGCTTGCTCGCTGCTCGCTACAGCAGGCCCTTGGGCTTCAAGGTCAAGCCAACATTAGACAGACTCAAGAGCTGAAAGACTCGACGCCCGCGGCTACCGGTTATAAAGGTCCATGTACCGTGCTAAGGTTGAAATTAAAGGCAGCCGGTGCGGCAGCACCAGCATAGTGCACACCACATCTCCAGGAACCACCCCCTTTCTATTTTTCCCAGTTTTCCGGCTTCCTTCCCAGGCCTCTGAAGCATTGCAGCACAGCAGAAAAACGGAACACACACTCACACAGACTCTTCAACGAGTTGCCAGCCAGATTCTATCCATGAATAGCTTGCAGAGGTTCTTTGGGCAGCCCTGTTTTACTTAGGCGGTCTCCATCCTGGCCTAGTGGTCGAGATCCGTGACTGCTGCCTGTGCACGCCAGCATGTCAAACACTGCAAGGTGACTGCAAGTAGCTTCGCAAATCTGATGGAGCCTGGAGGACGCCCCCTTGCCAGCGGAAGCTTGTAGGCTGAGACCTCGAAGCAAGCAACTGTACCACTCACCAAAAGCTGCCAATGCAAATCCTGCGGATGTGTTGATGACATTTCAACGATGATGGTGGTTGTGGTACGGGTTGTTATGATAGAACGCCCTTTTCTGGCACCTTTGCACCGCATCATCTGCGTCGTGCACAGCCTATTTAGGCATTTAGGTCATGAGCTTCGCTCAGCTGACATCTGGTGTTCTGCTTCGCAGGACACGTAAAGGCAGGTGGCCTAGTTGATTGAGCTGCTGGGCCTTCGGAGTTGAAGAGATGCCCAATCTGCACTCGCGAACCATTGGTCACAGTTTTATGTAATTCTAGTCAACCCAGTTGCATCTAGGTGCGACGAACATTTTACACCACTCAGCAGCCTTCTGGAAGCTATGGCGACTCAGCTTCAATTAAATTTGCTACCAGCTGCCGACTCGTCCATGTCGTCAGCCCTCAGCCACCCCGCGAGGCACGGATTGCCGACTTCCGCCCACGTAAGCCAAGCGTACCTCCCAAGATGTCTGTGGTAGCTTCTCAGTTCTCTGCTAAAGCCACCCCCTGCAATCCAAAGCATGCCCGGTGATGCAAGAGAAACCTGCCCGACTCGATAGCTGCAAACGATTGCAAATTTCCCCCCAATCAGCTGTAGGGTTTACAGCTACGGCAACGGCACCCGTGCTACTATTGATGCAAGGGTCCTTTGTGGACAGCTTTCAAGTTTGACATGCGCCGCATCAGGGCAGACTCCTGCCAGGCCCAACGCTGCAAGACAGCTGCTTGGGTCTCACTGCAGCTGAGGTCTCTATTGAAAAATCAGGACGGAGCATGCGAGGGCACTGGCGAGAGGTCAACTGCCAACTGCAGAATTTGCTTTGTGGTTAATGGGCTTTCTGCTCACACATAAAAAAGCGCTGTGGACTGGGTTAACCAATTACTGCTCTGTCAGGACCAAAATGCAAAGCGTGCCCTGGCAAATGTTTGCACAAATAGTGTTGCCAGCCTCGTGGTTGTGCGCACGAGCCGCTGTCGTCCTCGAGTTGGATTGGCTGCAATGAAACGAGCCGATATGACGAGCTAATGATACAGGCATACAGCCGCTGCCAGTGCGGGTAAGCACAGAATGCAGCAGTCGTCCATTGCAAGAATCGCACGTCTCAACGATTCACAGCTCGAAACTCGCGGGACACCGAACCAAGGAAGGCCTCAGACCAGCAAAGTCCAACTTGAAGAGTGTCCCCATCATGACGATGAACCTTGAAGAGCTTCACCGGCATCAGGAATCGATTGCACAAAGGACGCTACACATCGCCGAGCAACTTCGGAAAGGGGAGATGCAGCTGCTTCGAGGAAGTGCTGGAGGACATTGCATGCTCTTTGAACATCCTGAGTACTCATGCAGTCATCTTCTTGCTTCTTGATGCCACCTGTCCGTACATCCAAGCTTCTGCTCGAGCTCAGCATTCCGCTCCACAGTCAGCGTGGCACCCATAATCTGCACCCCACGGCACAGAGCGAAGTAGGAGAAGTCCTTCTTGTTGCCTGCATGCGTCACGGCAAAGGTTGCTAAAGTAACTACAGCAACCTTGGGGTGTGCTCTTTTTCAGCCACATCACAGCGAACACGAAGTCACACACTGTTAATGTCACAGCCTTGACACATCGGCAAGCCTATGCATTCCATGAAAGTGGCCACGCCTTGGTTGTCCTCTGCAATCAGTTGCTTGTAGAAAGCCTTAGCCAACTGGCGGCAGCATCTGCCGCCGGTCTGGCACAGTTTGAACATATCATGACATAGTGGGTAACGGCCTTGCTTGAATTCCAATGAGACAGGTGGCTCTGAAGATTTCAAGCTCTTCCTGGTGTGCAGGACCGCCGCAGTTATTTCGCTCAGACCAACATTGTCTCGATCTCTTTATAAGGACCTGAACATAAACTGCTCAGCGAATTCCGTGCCTGTGGGATACCTGCGATGTCAGCAGCTCGTAACTCCTTCGACCGGGCATCCATTTCCTTCTTGTCCAGGAACCTGAGCTGGAGGTTTGATGACAGCACTGAGGCAGCATGATACAACTGAGTGCAGGATACACGAAATTACTCAATGACTTCGGCGCTGCCGAGACAACTCAACTAAAGGGCCATGCATGGACGAATTCTTCAACCAGGGTGGATTACTTGCTCATGTTCCCGTAGTAGCAAAGTCAGACAAAGCGACGTAAGTTGTGCCACGACGCCTTCGGCTCGCACGAAAACCGGAGCAGGATCCAACCCCTTATCAAACCTTGCATCCAAGCCGTGTCAGAATCGGACTGCCCAAAAAAACCATGGATCACGAACTTCCAAGGCCTTGCATGAAGCTAGCGCAGTGTCTCAATAATTCAACAGCATTGCACAGGGTTTAAGAGTGGGCTGTTGATCTCAGCTCAACAGGATCATGAGCCCGCAGATGCTGCATGCAAGATGGCAAGGGCCATGCTGCACACGCCTGCACAGGTTTGACATACGGTGTGCATGGAGAAGGGGGGGTTTTGAATGGCTGCAAACATGACATAATAGAGGCATCTGGGATCCTCGGACAAAATAGTCTGTGATAGGGGATGTGGCAGGATCTCTCGACCATTTACCCTCCTGGTGTAGATGGCCATCCGCTGGTTTCAAACCCTTCGAGATGAATGTGGAACTCACGAATTGATTCTGTCGCTAGTGAAGTGGTGCCGAATCAGAAGGAGACAGGTGCTTGGTAACTCAAGAACTCCACGTTCTTATGAGGGAGGGAGTTGCAACACTCAGAACTCTTTCTGTCAATGATCCTCCGCGACAGTGCTGGTGCTTCCGCGGAGGATAGATGGATGGATGTCGAACATACTTTCTTGTGAATGAACCACGACCAAGTCCATTCTTGCATGGGGCCGTCTTGCACAGTGCAGGCAGTCCAAGAAGGAGAGCAGTTCGGAGCGGTCTCGGCCATTGAAGGCTGTTGCCTCCAGGTCAGCCTGAAGGCAATGCGGTACAAATGCCGCGTGCCCACACATGTACACTGCAAGAAAGCATGTTGTCAGGATAATTGGGGCTGGTTCCATCAAAAGGTACTGTGACAAAAAGTCGACATGTGGCTGATGCTGAAGCCCTCATCTGCCGCACCTCGTCCGCTCGACCTTTTGTAACGATGCCCATCTGAACAATGATGTACACGAGATGTTCAAAACGAATGCCTGCAGGGCACGGCCCAAAGGCACAACGAAATTGGCTTCCTGGGCCACATTCCCCGAACCTCGACCACCGTGCTTGCCAGAGATGGAATCAAAAAGCTGCTGGAATCGAGACACCTGCGGCTGGGCTGTCCTCTGGTGTTTTTGCCCGCAGAGGAACTTGGAAGAGTAAGAGAATCCGACAGAGGGCTCTTGCAGGAGTGAAAGGCCACGTAAGAACACTATCCGTCCAGGGTGTTCGCTGCGACCATTTGCAAGGGAACTGACAGCGATGTGCCTCGATTTGGGGTGGTTCCGACACAACGCTCTAGATGTCTTTCTGCATACCTCAACAGCCTGTCTAACTACTTCGGCACTACAGTAGCTGGCTGCGTCTTCGGTGCTCCAGACATGTGTCGCAGTTCAGCTATTTCAACTTCTGCTATGCCAGTCCCTAAGCCTGGCACTGCAAGCTTTCGATGGTATGTCACTGCCAGCAGAGCGAATAGATCGTAGAGTCGTCGCAACGCGACATTTTCAATTGAGGATAGTGCAGGCTCGACGTGGCCTGCTCCAGCGAGAAGCCTGCTCTCTCCCAAGCTCTCCTTGGAAAATACACACGGTCAGGACATGAGACGGCAATTGGCCGAGGGAACTCTCAAGCCGAGAGGCTGCCTCTCAAGTTCACGGCATTTTTGCGCAAGGATGAACAGCTGGGTCCTTGGCTTGTTCACAGCTTGCCATTGTAGGTTTGGTCGTTAGCCTGCAGTGACTGCAGCGTCCGCAGACTGCAGTCAGTCTGCAATTTATGTACGCCGCTTTGCCAGCCATGACATGAAGTCAGAAGCCAGGCACCTCTTGAAGACAAGCTCTTCTGTGCGGACGTCCGCCACTGTCACACGAATAACATCCTTCTTGAAGGATTTCAGTCACGTTTCTCGTTCTCCAATGTGACATATCCCGCCCACACTGGGTAGCCTTGGCTCAGTCAGACTGAAACCACGCGCTGCGCAGCACAGTCGGCAGCACTTCCTACGCTGCCAGTACGTACAGCATCCGACCCGAATATGCGCAATTCTCCCACTGGCCCTTTTGCAACAGTCAGAGTGGCCCAGTTCGTGCGCCGTCCTCTCCAGCTGCTCCGGACGCACATGCACCTTGGAAGTATGCTGAGATGTTGAGAGGGCTCACTCGGACGAGACTATCCGTTCAACGACAAGCAGGATTACCTGCAAAGATCGAGAGATTGTGCCAAGGGCAAGGTCGCATTCATGCCTCCAACTATTCTTCCAGCTACAGTATATTGTAAAGTCCTAGCTTTCCATGACCTTCGCGCTTGCAGCAGGCAAGTTTCAATTCGACTACCCGTCCCGATTCACCACCTCCCTCGGTAGATCGGTGCCACGAGGACTCACCGAAACAAATCCAAAACCGAGTGAGCGGCTTTCACGCCCTCCATTGCATCGGCCACATCTCTCAGGTGCGGCTGGATGCTGGTGCTACTCGCACCGCGAAATCCTCAGCTCAGACCATGTGCCCAAGCCACTGTTACGTCAACGAGCTCGGGCTGGTGCGTTCGCGGTAGAAACCACGAAGATATAGCTTCTCGGAGTGTAGCCTGCAGGTCCACCCCTTTGAGCCCCCTCCCAGAGCCACAACGCACTACAGTCACTCCTCATGTCGCAAAGCTCCACAAACTCCCGAAAATCGATGTCCCTGCCATTCTCGGCCCTTGGCGATGCTGGCCGCATGATCTTCAGAAGCTGCAGCTCGCGCGCACACACACACACATACCATCGCACATGAACACCGGAAACGTTGTCAATGCCAGGTCTCGTTTCATCCACGGACTCCAGGCAACTTATCAAATTCCGGACTTCATCTTCTGTCATCGCACGGCCCAGCAGTCTCAGCACGGACCGGAAATCGTGCTGCTGCAGAGTGCCTCTACATTCGCACAGTGTGCAGCCGGCTCAATCAAGATTCAATGGCAATCGAGGCTGCTGCCGTCAAGACTGCCATCAAACTCCGCAAAGAGCTGAGCCAGCTCTGCAATGTCTTCCTGCGGCTCCAGCTGGAGATGGCAATGCTGTGTCTCGAAATCGCTGTGAATCTATGCTGCCATCAATACTGCAGTGCATTTCTATAGACGTCGAAATTGTGCCGCATGCGCTCAACAGCACAATCTAAGGAAGTGAATCCTTGATCAGCTTCTCAACCTCTGCATCGACCTGGACGCCATCTTCATGAAACGTGGGGCTGACTGCGGTGTCTTTGACCAGCTTACAACACCAAGACAATCAGACACTGGAGACCAAATCACTGGGTGACGACGGGCTGCACAAAGTCTGCGCTCCGGTGCTCCGTGCAAACGGCAACCGACCAGCCTCTTCAAATTCTTCTAGGCCGCGGCCTGTGCAAACGCATCAAACGGGCGGAATAAACTGTCTGCACCTCCTCCCGCTGTAAATACGTGGGGTCCACGTGCTCGACCATGCTCACCTATTCGCTCCCACCTGCTCTTAGCCTTTCATTCTGGAGCTCGTGCACATCTGACAGTTTGAGGATTGCCTGGCAGGTCGAAGCGAACAGCTGAGGTGGTCACAGACGTGTAACGGTGTTGGACTATGCTGGCCTCAGCGTACACCTCCTGTCTTCTCTGACGGCACAAGTCCGAAGGTAGTCCTAGCCGTTGTGACTGAAAGACGTGCAGGAATGAAACGAGCTTTGACGACCAAGCCTACTCTTCTCGTACTCGATGCTTCAGTCACGAAGCTTCGTTTGCACTGGCTATGTGATCCCGAGCTGGGAAGCTAAGTGACGCGCCTGCTTCCTCGGCCTCGGCCTGTGCTTCCTCCGCTGCTGCCCGGGCAGCTACGAAATGATCCTCGCCTCTCCGTGCTCAGAAATAAACGGCATTGTATGGCTCATCTGCCTGATCATGTATGTCTATTCCCTACAAGTCAGCAGCTTGCACCCACCTGATGAATCACTCGCCGAGTGGGTCGAGGAGACGCCCAGCGAAGCCGCAGAAGCCCGCCGCAGTCTCAGGTACGAAGATATGACGCATGACGGAATGCTACTTCCGGGGCATGCCATGTCTCTTGCTCTTTTTCGTTTAGTATCGTCGTTCGTACTACTACTAGTAGTGCCATTCATTCGTCTGCCTCTCAGGCTGCTCAGGTGAGTTGACTTTACAAACTCGTTTTTGTCCCCGTCAAAGCTAGATTGAATTTTAGAGATGGCCAAGAACTGTCTGTACATCAATCCTCGCTGGTAGATGGGCTACTCTGCCATGTCGGTAATGATTCACTGCATTGTGCAGTCGCTTGTGCTCTCTGCCACTCGGAAAACAATCTCCCGACGTCGCAAAGCTGGAAGAGGTCTCGTCTTCAGACTTCTCGATTAGAAATCGCTGTCAGCTTTCGGGATGCAACTTTCGCACAACCGATCTGCCGGTGAATGTGCCATGTTGGGGTTTCGATACTCGCAATTGATTGTCGCGGTTCGGGGTATTCCCATTCCCAATTGCGCTGCACCGACGTCTGCAGTCACATGACATGGAGCAGACGTATGGGGGTCACGATGTCGGTAGCCATCTAGGACCTTCATAACCCTCATATCGTCGTCACGTGTCATAGGCGCACGTCACGGTTCGTAGATCCTATCCGACTCTGCACAAAGGCAAGGAAAGTGTGGTCTGTCTGTAGAGCTGCACCTCCCTTCCGGCATGCTGCCCTCGTTGCTGCTCTTCCTTTCATGGAAAATGCATTCACGCGCCGAAATCAAACTTTGCAACATGGTAGGTGGTCTGCCGAGAGTCAGTCGGTCGAAACCCCCTTCATGCGCGCAAGCCATGCTGGAGTGCTGCCCTTCTCGGCTGTGGATCCACTCGGCATCCCACTTTACCGGAAGGTCGCGGTGCTCGCCCCCAGCTTCCACAACAGTCATGCTCGGACGGACTAGCTCGTAGGCTGCCACTTCCCTGCTGCCGTGCCCATTTCCCCCATGTCACATCAAGCAACATCAAGCAGAACGCACCGTATAGACCGCTGTCCTTTGAGAACGCATTGTGTGCGCCCACGGCTTGCATGACACTTCTCAAACGTGTCTGATTGGGAACTGTCTCTGCTCCCTCTCTGTCCATCTGTGTAGTATTGCTAGTATTGTTCTCCGAAACCGAAGCGGGGACGACCCACGCGAATGGCTGCCTTCTGTCGCTCCATACTGGACATGACACGGTAGGATGATCACGGGAACCGGCTGTTTAAGCCAAGGTTATCCCGCATTAGGCTGCAGAACAAGCAGCATTCCGAGATCACCGATTGAGCCACGCCGACTGGTGAGGCCTGTGGCCACTTTGCAGGAAACGTGGTAAACGCATGTACTAGTTTTCTAATAAAGTGGACGACCTTCCGTCACTGAAGCGGCCACGTGCTGTGCTAAACGCACTGCAGTAAGGCGAGGCGAGAGCACTTTGGGAAGTTTGGGGCAAGGGACCTATTTGGCTGCCCCGTCGTCCCAGAATGCTGGCACGTGCAGAGACGGCAGGCGGGGCCGGGCTGCGGCTGCTTCGCCGAGACCTGGCCAAGGATTCAGATTTTCGGAGAGGAGAGCAGACTCGACGAGGGCCTGCCACTCGATGCCTTGCTGCTTCCTCGAGATGAGCTCCTCCCAATCCTCAGCGGAAAAAATGTGGAGCGGCCAAGTCGCGGCCTTCCGAATTCGCTGCACGCCAGGCCGCAAGGTCTTCAGCTCCTCTAGAGCCTGGGCATGGACTCTCGACTCTCGAACGTCTCGAACCCTCTTCTTGAAATCATGACGGAAGACGAAATGCGACGGCGCCGCGAGCTGAATCAGCTGTGCAGTCTCCAAGATAACGAAAAAAAGGATCGGGTTTATGTAAATGCGCAAACAACCTCCTCGAACCGCCGGGGGCTGTTCTGGCTCCCGGCTTTAGGATGCACTGCCCGAGAAATGCGTGTCTCCGTCCGTGCTCTCCGCTTCGCCTACACCCTGCTCCTGAGGCCCTGAATGGGCCTGAAGAACGTACCTCAACAGATCAATATTCCGAAAAACCGAACTGACGAAACACTCGCAAAGGGGCAAACCCCGCAGCTGACTACAAGCCAGCATGCATTGTCCAACGGATCGCCGCTGACTTGAGATTTGTCCAGGCGCTGCCAATTCTCCTTCGAAGCTTTGCTGACTGGAGGCTCGAACTGTTCGGCTGGTATGCGGCATTGCACGACAATCTGGAACGGCGAACGTCTGAAATCGTAATCTCCTTTAGAAACCTTGCTGGCCACTGACGGATTGCAGGCGACAGATGCGGATCGCGCCTGTGGGCGACAAGAATACAACACGCCAATCTGTGTATTTACTGGGTTCTTCGAGCCTGTAAGGCCGCCTGTCTCGTGGAAGGCCGTCAGGACGTGTAAGGGCCAATGCGCTTGGCCCTAAAGTCGCGACTTTTGAGCTGGCCTCGGTTTCGCAACTGCTATGCATCTGGAAGGCACTGGTCAGGAAGGTCTGGGCACAGCATGGCACAGCATCGGGGCACATGACGCCAAGGAGCGCTCATCATTGAGGATTGTGAAACGTCACGATGCATACCCGAGATCACCTCCCAGCTTGGCGACGGCTCGCCTGTCCAGCTTTGCCCTCGTTGCCGTGCTGGCTCAAACATCCCGGCCTTCTCGATTGAGTTCTTGCGGAAGTGCCAGGCTGTCCTCAGAACAGGCGTTGTCACACTGACGGAGCGTGCAGCATTTTCAGACAATGGCGGTCCTGCCCGTTTGACTTTGTTGGGCGAATTTCGTCAAGCACAGGTACCTGCCACGTGGGCTCAGCTTCTGCGAGCTACCGTTTAGACTCTGGCTGGAAGGACACTGCCGGCCTGCCGAACACGTGGTCGCCAGCCCCCCGGCACTCGGATGAAGCGCACGCCGTGCGGTGCGGCTGGCACTTTACCTGACTGCACCCATAGCAGGACATCCAAGCAGCTGGTGTAGGCACGGACTGCTCTACTACTGCATCACAAGTCCTTCCCCTTAAATTCGACAAGTGGAAGTCCATGATCCGGAACCCCCACAGGCCGGCAGTGTACCGAGGTGGCCCGGTTGTGCTCTGTTCGGGATTTGAACCTCTACTGCATCTTGCTGCAAGACTCTGTCATATTCTTTCGCAACAAGTTGCTGTAGACTTGGCTCCAGCCAGCTTGAGCAAGTCTGGCTTGTTGCTTCTGATGCGCAGACCTTCTGGGGCGGTGCACTGCGCATGAAACCGTAAGCTTCATGTCGGCGTCTGCAAGGATGCCAAGATGGTTTCCTAGCTTAGCCGAGCGAGCGCATGTCGGAGCCGGTTTCTTGCAGTTCCAAAAAGCAGCCCAGGATTTAAGCTACAGGCATCACAGGCTCGTGCCCGACATGAAAGACCTCGACAAATGTGATGTGTAATGGTAGGCCTTGCCGACACCAAGCGAGGAGGCCATGTCTTGCTGACGGGTCCTCAATTTTCAACATAATGATTGCACCCTTTCTATCCGAATCTATCCTACTTCTGCTGGTTTACCTGCTCTTGCAGAACAATTCCCAGGAGCTTACTTAGCCCCTCAGTCCTTCCTCATCTCCGCTCTGCAACATAGGCTGCCGTCACTACGCTTCATCTGCCCATGTCATGGCCCGGGCAAGGTCGGGCTGAAAGGCTCAACTCCCGAAGGCTTCTTTGTAGTCTCCATGTGCACAGTGTCTGACATACTGGTACCGCAATGAACTCTCGCACCCCACCGCTCTCCACCGCAATTCCCATAGTCGAGTGGGCATCGGCCAAAATGGCTGCCAAGCTGTGACCCGGCTCCGCGATAGCTCGGAGAGCTCAATCACTCTATGTCAGTGTGGACTGCAAAGCTGTCCAGGTGCGCCCTGTTTCAAACTTATCCTTCAGCAAAAATGTCGAAGCAACTCATCTCCGCGAGCAGCGTCTCAGCGACTTCTCCTTTCACAAGGTGACCCCTGGTATACGACGCTACCAAAAGCCTTCTCTGATGTTGTCCGTTTCATGCCTTGCAGCGACGCAAGCCCATGATGCAAACTTGGCTACAAGTAGCTGTCTGGCTTAAAGAATCAGACGCAGTCCGCAGACCAAAATCCCCCATCACCACAACTTTGACACTCGTTGGATGACGTACGGCTGTGTCTAGTGGTGCTGGCCGCACACTCATGTCATGTCATGTCATGTCCGAACCACCCCTAGCCCTATTGAACGCTGCCAGCCATGTCATGCAAAGACTGTTGTTGCCATGCAGCCTCCAGCGAAGGCAAGGACGTGCGGACCTGCCTGCTGTAGGGCAGCCTGGACGAGCAAAAGCGAGTTGTCAAGACATGTGGTGCCTGCAGCTCTCAGCTCAGGAGTGAAAATAAATGAAATGTTCAGTTCAACGAGGCGCCTCAGGCTTTTTGTCTGCTTTGCCCGCCGTAGGCGCGCTCACGAACTTGACCCATGTAAGGTCTATTCACACTTTCCAGGGCTATGTCCCAGGTTTGAATCTCGGACCCATCTTCAGCAGAATCTGGCCTTGGAGACAAACCGGGTACACGGGAACTCTCGGCAAAAGACTGCTTGCCACAAATCCAGCTCATGGCTTTCATGTCCAATCGGATACGGGTGACGGACACAAGGCAGGCAGCTTCCTTTGGTACTTGAAGTGACACGAAGATCTGGTCCGGCCTTTGGCTGGACTTCGATTTTCAGGCATGGCCACTCGATCTTGGCCCATGAGATGTTCAAGTCACGGTGCAGACACAGGCATAACTCGATAACACGCACACGCACGGGCGCACATGCGCGCGGGGCGCTTCTTGAGTGGCAAGTAAGGCTACAAAGCGTTAACGAGCAGCAGCTGGCGAAGAGGGCCGATGGCATTGCGTTGCTTCGCCAGTTGCTGCCAGTCAACATTCGACGATTGCATCTGACAGAGAGGCTGCACCCGGGGGCTGCTGTCGGTCCGTAGTATGACTTGAAACTGTCCTGACACAACTATGCCACCCTGAAGGACGGTAAGATTTGACGAACTGGACCGACAACGTGCCGCACAGCATCTCTCTGGTTGTGGAAGCAAATGGCGGCACCGGGATGAACCCTGAAAGAGCTGATGTGCCACGTGCGAACCTGGCCCGCTATGGACCGCTAATTTCTACACAACACACATATGCCGGACACTCACGCGAGGAAAATGGTGATTGCACTTCGCGCATTGAGCGGCGTTCGGCAAGTCGTTCACCAAGTGATGTCCGGCCCTAGGCCCCAGACTCCTGCACCGTCGCGTTTCAGCCCAGGCTGTCCGGACTTGAGAGATGGTACGGGCGAGTCAGCTCAAGCCTGGTCAAATCCTGCCAAGACTGGCTGCCAGCCTTCTGAAGGCTGATGATCACATCCTTTCCACTTGGGTCAATTTTGAAGCGACACTTGTCTGTGTCGATGTCTCCTGGAAGATGATTGGAGTAAGCTGTCCATGCATACCCTTCGCAGTCAAGGGCCCGGATCGTGAAGCTGCTTGGAAAGAAGTCCACCTGAACATCGCGAAACATTGTACCCAACGGGCTGAAATGCTGTGGCGTTATGCGGATTCGCACACGCATCGCTTCCTTTTGACTCCGGCTCGCCCTCCCCAAGTCTTTCTTGTGCCAGGGAGTGCTGGCCTTGGACGCAAGTCCTGGCATGGTGATAGTGCCCTTCTGCTTCGCCGAGTCTGCACGGACGAAAAAAGTGTCGTCCGAGACTTGTTTGCATAAGCCGTTCGAGCCCTCCACGCGGCGCTCTTGGAGCTTCTCTTCCACAATCTCCCTCTTGGGGTAAAGGCAACTGGCGTAGCTGCACGGGCTCACCAAGCCTGGGCTGAACGGAGACTCAGCAACTGAACCTCGTCCCTTCTTGCTCTTCAGACTGCGCTTCCAATGCTTCTCGGGTGGGGAGACAAGGGGTTGCTCTCCTGGCGCCTCCTCGTGACAAGACTTTGTGCTATCAGGTGGTGACGTTGGTGGCTGCAGAGACTTGGTCTCGGATGTCAGCGGAGAGGCATGACTCGGATGCTGCTCTGCTTGAGTCTGAGTGCTGCCATCCAAGCCTTGGAGTAGCTGCATGAACTCCTGACGGGACTGTTCCAAGACGGCTTTCGCTGTGCCGAAGATGTGGCTCGCTACGTCTGCGCCCGTCGCTTCGGCTTCGACCGGACTCTTCAGAGAGTCTCCGTGCTGGGCCTCACTTGGGCTCTTGATCAAATCAAGAGGCCGCAAACTAGCAGCGGGGCCAAATGCATCCTCCGCTTTTGCTTCAAGCTCCTCACCTCAGGGCCGAAGCTCTTGCTAGGCTTCAAAAATGCAGTGCGGGTACTCTGCAGCACTGCTCCACTTGGGGTCCTGATAGAACTACGACTACGAGCACATCATCGATGGGGAGAGGGCTGTTCAGAGTTCAAGCGGTCCGGCGAATAGAACAAAACTGGAGGGTCGACTCGACTACATCACTCTACAGCTCGATACAGCTCGTTCGCCTGCGTTCTTGAACCATCCGGACATCTCTTCCAGGGCTTCATCCAATTTTGGAGAGCACTGCCATTGCCGAGCCATCGAGTCACCTGCAGAGCTCACGGCTCGGTTTGCCACTCGTCTCTCTCACTACTACCAGTACATACCAGCATCATGACCATTCCCCGGCCTGCTCAGGAGTCGCGGGCAGAATGTCTGAGCTTGGCGTGCTCTGACGCTGCCGAGTGCTCGAGCCGATTCCGCTGCTGGCAAAGACCCACTTGCGGGAACTTGCATCTAGGGCCTACAGGAGAATTGAAGGCCTGGGATCCAGAAAGCCTGTTGTAAGGTGCACTGGCCTCGACCACACGACGGTCCCCACGCAGTGCTGCATCAGCGTACCGCAGTGCATTGCCGTTGCCTCACTTCGAAGTGGCGTGAACGGCGCTGGGTTTCACTGCAAAATACTGCAATTTTACCAGGTGGCGCTGGACTGCTTGCATTACGATGTCCGGATCTTTGCGAAGGTCCTCCAATTGACACTCATGAAGCCGTCAATTATACAGACCATACGATGCCTGGGGGACGAGACTCATGGTCCAATGGTTCTACAAATCACTGCCTGTCACTCATCAAGCGCTTGCCCTATCCTTCACTCTGCTCTGCTCTGTTGGAATACCCATGCTTCGAAGCTCGCTACACCGACTACCGTCACTACAGTACAGTCTTCGGCTCCTCTGATGCATATTGGAGCATGGTGGCATCCAGCACGACAGCTTCGTAGACCAACTCCCTGACTGCTCTGGCGAATACTGCAAGCAAGCACAGTTCTCATGCATGCAGTTTTGAATAGACAGTTCCCGGCAACATTGAAATCCTTCAGTCTTACGTTCAACGCAAACGAATTATGTAGGTCATGCTGGCCCGGAGATCCGATGTAATTGCTTCTGTTCGTGGCTTCCTGTGTTTCCAAATCTCTAAACCCCTAGCACACTAGCACGGCAACACTAAGTCACTAGTCGGTATGATCGGGCTTTACCCAACGCTAAATTGACTTTGGGAGTTTTCGGGTAGCTGCGGATGTGGTCGTCCTAGTGTGGTGTTCAAGCAAGCATCCGTGTGGTGTTTCACTGCCTGGGTTCGACGCTGGCATGACAAATAAAATCAAACAAACATACAGTAGCTGTCGGGAAACTTGCAGCCTCATCGCAGAATTCAAGGATGGTTCTCAAGACGACGAACAAAAGCCTGATAGTCATAGTGATAGATGTAGCTTAGCACTAGCTCCTTCTTCAGTTCACCAAGAGGGCCAAAAACTTCAACTGCACCCATACTAACCAGATCTGCTCAATACTCCCTAGATCTGTGCCTGGTAAATTCCTTAAACAAGGGTTTCAGGCAGCAATTAAGCCGTGGGCCTCGGGAATAAGCCCAAATCGTTTCCGAGGAGAGTGAAAACGAGAACAGATAAACATGGGCCCGATCAGCAACAAAGCTCGCCAAAATCAGAAATCTGCATGCAGTTTATCGGCCGACCGAAAGCTTAATTACTGAGGGGGGTCGGTAATTAAGCGCGCCGACGAGCAACGAGATCCGAACCGGATTCGCGAAAGCTTAACTACCGAGTTAAGCCCGCTGCTGACACCACCTCGGCAATCAAATCCTAAACCGGCCGACCGAAAGCCTAAGTACCGATAGGGGGTGTGTAGTTGAGCCCGCCGCTGCTGCCACCTCGGCAATCAAATCCCAAACCGGCCGACCGAAAGCTTTTTTACCCAGGGGAGTCGGTAATTAAGCCCGCCACTGCCGCAACCTCGGCAATCAAGTCCTAAACCGACCGAAAGCTTAATCACCGAGGGTAGTCGGTACTTAGGCCTGCCGCTGCCGTCACCTCGGCAACGAAATCCCATCGTGGTTGGCAATGCAGTTTGGGATTTGATTGGCGAAGTCGTGGCAACGGCGGGCTTAATTAC